TCCCTTTGAACCTTTATCTTTGTACATTCCTTCCTGTTACTCCCCTAAACAACAAGGACTGAAATTCTTGAATTACAGGATAAACAATGTTCTAATATTCTGATGCCAAACTGCTCTTTAGAAGAACTGAGATGCTTCATATTACTAGCAGTCATATGATGGTTAATTTTTTTTTATGCTCCAGACTAAAAAGTTCTTATGTAACTATAAACAAGTTGATGTAAAATAGCATTGGACTTGACTTTATAGTTCTTTCATTGCTAGTTTAGACCATTTTAAAAATTCTAGTTCTAAAATAGGGATTCCTTTATGATTTACACATCACAACCAACTACAGTTAATATGAAAATACTCTACATGAAGGTTAACATAGGCAAGCTAGCCTGAAACTCATGATCCTCCTGTCTGGCTCCCACTGCTAGAATTATAAGCACGTGCCATCATACTGGACTGGCTGAACCTTAATGAATCTTAAACACACTGAACTGAATATTAAAATTTCTGTTGTACAGAAATAGCACATTTTTATAATTTTTCAATGTTATTTTAAATTTATTTTCTCATACATTATCTTATTAGAAAGTTATGCATTTGAGTTATTATTGTTTTAAAATGAGCACATACTCAAGATCCCTGCAGCATAGCACTGAGAGTTCTTCCCCTGCCAGCAATGAACAAAGCACTACGTCTAAGCTGCCTCATCCGTAGTGATGATGTCATACATTATCCACACTGCAATTACTTCAAATGTCAAATAGCACGAGCACACAGTGAGCCCTGTAAAATGGCACGTGCAACAAAAGATTCACTATTACTACAAATGTCATTATTCCTAACAGAAAAGGTATTTACTTCCTCTGAAGTAAATAGTACAGGTACTATTTGGCTTGAGAGAGACAGGAGTGGTAAAGCCAGGAACTCTTGAGGACTCTGGCTTCATACAGTAACCACTATACTTGTCTGTACCATACTTAGACTTAATGGGCCAAATGCATCTTTCTAGACATTAGCTTACTTTAGGAGAGGTATTTGACCTTTATTAATTCAATTCTGGCAAAACCTGATTTATTTATAAAGTTATTGTCTTTACTTATACTTTAATAGACTATATCTACACAGTGCTCAAAAATTGTCATGTTTTCCTCTTCCTAAGGTGACCTGTGGAAACGGTTCCCTACTCTCTTGACCTAGAAAACCCTACAAAATCACGTAAATCAAGAGGTCCAATCTTCATGTTCACTTTAAGAACACCCATGAAACTGCCCAGGCTATCAAGGGCATGCATATCCAAAAAGCTACCAAGTATCTAAAAGATGCTTTAAAGAAACAGTACGTGATGTTCCAGTGGGATAATGGTGGAGTTGGTACGTGTGTCCAGGCCAAACACTGGGGATGGACACAGGGTCGGTAACCCCAAAACAGTGCTGAATTTTTGTTGCACATGCTTAAAAGTGCAGAGAGTAATGCTGAACTTGAGGGTCTAAATGTAGACTCTCTAGCCATTGAGCATATCCAGGTGAACAACCACCCAAAATGCCTTGCAGAACGTATAGAGCTCACGGTTAGATTAACCCATACATGTGGTCCCCATCATATCGAAATGATCCTCATTGAAAAGGAACGAATTGTTCCTAAGCCTGAAGAGAAGGGTGCACAAAAGAAAAAGACATCCCAGCAGAAACTGAAGAAACAAAAACTTATGGCATGGGAATAAATTGAGCATAAAATAAATGCAGATAAAAGAAAAAAAATTCATCTTTTTAAAAAGTGTAGTATTGGAGATTGAAGCATCTGATTCCTTCTAAATAGAATGTCATCTAATGTATTATATCTACTTTCTCCAAACACACATTCAAAATATTAAATCGTGATCCATAATTAAAGAGAAAATATGCTGGGAACATTAAAGTTTCTCTGCAAGACCTAGTGTAAAAAAGGTAAAAAAACAAACTATGACAGAGAACACTTACTTTTATCCGGTGATCATCCGTGTCTGCTACAGTTGATACTCTGACAAACAAGGGATTTCTTTTGTCTACAACCTCAAGTTTCATTTTTTTCTGGAATCCATGTGGAGGTTTCTGCCATAACAGATAGATGTCATGTAGTGAGATGTAGCGGGAGAGCTGTCAACTCCATGTTACAAAGAATAGTAAGCAACAGTCAAATTGTGCAGGACACCAGCTTTTCAAACTCTCATTCTCAAACTAGACTTGGGTGACACTTTTCTACTCAAAACACACATGTGGAAGGGAAACCCGAGTGCCTAGCTGAGGAGAGACAAAAAGGCATAAGATAAAAATAAACAGGCTATGGTAATTTGATTATCCTCTTGGAAGATAAGAAATTTTTCTCGTTGGTTAGAGGTGTCAAGGTAAAAAAAAAATCAACAAATATGAAATTCACTTGTGAATTAATGTGACTAAGATAAAACATCAAGACTGGACATAGCAGTAAGAGGAAAAAAGAAAAATGGGAGACAGCTTGCAGCGTAAAAAAAAAAAAAAATCAATCCAAACAAGATGATCAGCTCTTAACGACACCTTTAAATGATTTCTAAGGTTACCTCTTTGGGGGAGGAATGTTAAGAGTAGCAAAAAACCCCATAAGGAAGGAAAGGAAGGGAAGGAAGGGAAAGGAGGGAAGGGAGGGAGGGAGGGAGGGAAGGAAGGAAGGAGAGAGAGAGAGAGAAAGAAGGAAAGAAAGAGTACATGAAGTTGTCAGAAAAAAGTGATGGGGAGATATGGGAGGTTCTAGAGGGAAGGGAGTGGACGTGAATTTGATCAAAACACTTTATATGCATGTATGAAATTCTCAATAAAGTTATTTTTTAAAGTTAAAAAAAAGAAAGAATGACAATGACACATTCATACTCATCAGAAACCAGAAATCTCAGAGGAAGCTGTAGGCAGTATAAGTGATGGTTTGGGGTGGTATTAGTAAGTTACATGTACTTTCTAGGCCTCTGGCATCTCTCATGGAGGTACCACATAATAAGAGTATTGCTCTAAACATTAAGGCTGAAAATTATGTTAAGGGTAAAGAACCAGCACCACAAGCCATGTTGAAGGCCAAGGTGGATAAATCTTGGTTCTCCCTCTCATATGATACTAGACACAAACACTGGTCCTGATACAACTGTATCCAGTATAAAACAATGCAGTCCTGCTCTGTGTTAGATCACTGAAGTTAGAGAGGGTGGATAAAAATAAACATGATATAATTCTCAATATTATTCTGTTTGAAAGCCTGAATGTACTGTCAGGTAGAACCATACAAATTCTTTCACAGTTTATTTTCCATTTACTATGGTTTTGCTCTTAAAAATTTTTGATAATTTGATTCTTTTTTAATCCAATTTGAATCCATACCTAGTAACTAATTCTATCATTAAAATCTCTAGCAATTTATTTGTAAAAATATCATTTAAAGAAAAGTGTTATTTATCATGACAATGTCACGTTTTTAAAAAACAACAAAGTATACATACTTTATTTTTGAAAGAGGGTCTTTCTACATCACCTGGGCTGGCCTTGAACTTATGGTGCCCTCACTCACCTATCAAGTGCTAGGATTACAGGCATGTGTCACAGACCTGACTCCTAAAATTTATTTAATATTATCTATTTTTCCTCTAAATTCATGAGAAAATATAAATCATAATGTAAGAGATGTGAAGGGCTGGGGAGGTTGCTCAGTTGGTAAAATGCTGACAAGGATCTGTTTGATCCCTAGAAACCACAAAATAGTGTAGGTACACTTGTAATCCTACTGCTGAGGAGGCAGAGGCCAGCCAAGCTAGCTTACTTGACAAGAGACCTCTGTGTCAAGAAAACAAGATGAACAGAGTCTAAGGGATGACAACTAAGGTTGTCTTCAGGTCTACACACACACACACACACACACACACACACACACACACTGACATGTATACACATGTGGGTGTACACATATGAATACATACATACAGGAACACATTCACACACACAAAAGTAAGATATCTGAGAAGGAACAAACTTTTAAAAACCGGTTTTTGCACAGACATGAGGTTTCCTTGAATTTTAGTAAGTTCTACATGGGAACTATGAGCCTGGGTTAGAAGATAAGGTACTGAAAACATACAATTTTACATTTTAATAATTAAACATGCTGATCTGTAGCAATAAAATGAAATAAAAACCAGAATACGAGCTTGCCATAAACATTATCTAAAGGCATCACAGATGTAATGTGTTTTGGCAAACACTTCCCTGTCTGGTTTGGGTCTTTCAGATGAAAGGTACTTGTATTCACCCAGAGTGCAAGTACCATTATTTCCCAAGAAGACATTAGCGTCCAAAATCAAAGTATTTTTATTTAAAAAGTCAAAAACTACAGTAACAATTTTGACTCAAAACTGTAGATCTTGGCAAACAACTTCTTTGGCATTCTGTTTTCTTCTCATTTCTGTCCCTACTGCCTAGCACTATCTCTGTTTCTTAAATTCCAGTGAACAGACAGTATCATCATCAACATATACTAATCAAATACATTCTCTCACCACTTTGAAAGCTCTTGCAGGTGCAGGTAAAGAATTGGTTTCTTCTAGGTATTTATCCCAAGAAAAGTGTTTCACATTTGGGTATCCTAAGAAACAAAGAAAACATGAATCCTATGATGGTGTAATAAAAATGACAGTGATAACAAACCATCCCTCAAAAATTATGAGGCATGATCAGTCTAATAGGAAAGAATGTTCATACACAAAGAACAACTTAAAAGTAATAACACAACTAGAGCTATTTGTAATAACAATTTTATTTCATTTTGATCATTATTATTTTTAGATGAAAATTACATGAAATAGCTTTATGAAAATATTAACAATAATACATAAGATTTATATATATATTATAGTAAATATTTCAGATAGCTCTTCCTTTTGTTAGCTGAATAAAGAAACATGCCCAAGTCATGGAACATATTATTGGATTATGTAAAAACAACCATCTCTGCGTTCCTCCTTGCCACCTTTTGTTTCCTCCTGAGTCCCCAATACATTAGACTGACATAATCGTAGCCCAGTAGGGTACAAAATTTGCTACACGAAAGGGACTGACAAAAATGTGAGACTACATTAGAGATAATGGAAGCCAGGCTTCTACCCAACTGAGAAGGTAGGTATAAATATGGACAGAGGAAAACTAGAACGAAGCTAATTAATTTTCAGTTTGAATCCAGGCCAATTCATGGTATCAAGTCAGGGTTTTAAACATGTACACAAAGAAATAAAAAAGAATATAAAATCTTCTATATAGTTATATATGTATATTTCCTATTTTCATTGAGATGCCTGGAAATAGCATCTCCCCACCCTCTAGCAAAAAGCACAATAGCAACCATGTCTTAGCATCTAGATATGTCTCAGCTGAGTATAAACAAGTATATAATACTCCTGGCTGTGCCAAAAGGGAGAAGGTCTCAAAAAAAAAAAAAAAATTAGAGAAGAATATGTGAAAAGGAGATAGAAAGAAGACAGTTTAAAGGGATCTCACTTGGTAAAATCTTCAAAAAATGTACATGAAAATCAATAATAAAACTCATGGCTAAAGTTAGTAGTCTACAGTTCCACAATAATATAAATAAACTAGATGAATAGCCGAGAACTGCAAAAGCTATTCTTTGCAAAAGAATATCAACTAATTACATACAAAGTATAGTGCAATAAGAAAAATTACCATTACTGAGTAACATTTCTCAATTGTCACCATAGTAATTAGTACCAACTAGAACTATTAGCAGATACTGAAACTACTGATTGAAAGAAGAGATAGGGGATATGTTGGGGACTCTTGCTGTTTTGGGTAGTAGTCTCTCCATGTCCAGATAGTCCAAGGGTGAGCTCAGTGTTTCTATGCAGAGACTCCTCTTTCCAGCAGGGTGTCTCTTATTCTCTTCCTGACTCACCTTTTGAAGTGGCCGCCACAGATGCCCTACCAAAAACATGGCCTCTGGCACAGAAACTGCCAGGTTTTTCCTGTGTGATAATCAGGCAATGTCTGGCAGCCTGATGGAAGCCCACCACCACATGTAAATGGGGCATCCTACAAAGCACCTATCAACTAAGACTTTTGCTACTGCCCCCACACTATAAATATCCTGGTTTCCCCCTAATTAATCGGAGCTGAATCACTAAGACCTGGAGCTGGGCTGAGTCACTGAATAAAGGAGCTGTACCTGACTGAGCTGAATTCTGTGTCTTACTGCCTACGATTCAGTCTCTCCGGAGGGGGCTGTCCCTTCGTAAACAACGACTCGCGGAGATTTTGCTTTCGCCTTTCTTGCACTTCCCCACGTGATCCGGCGGCCGGTGGATCGCATACTTCAAGGGAGTGCCCGGTAGCTTGGAACGGAACTCGCCTGGAAGCGCAGCGACCCATAGAGTCGTCAGCATCCAGTAGTTGCGGAGAGCCTCAGCAACGCGGTGCTGCGACACGCGTGCACCCCAGCAATGCGGGGAGACAGGGACCCGCCCCATAGGGATAGTTACAAAATCTCAAATATCCTTCTAGAAAATACTTAACTAATTACAGAGAAGAAAATAAGTAAACCGATGGAAAAAAAACTTGCAAATATCATCTTAAGCAATTAATAAGAGTGAAATACTATGCCCCTATAGAGAGAGGGACACAATGAAAACATAGTGATATTCTTGGCAAAATATGTACAACTTTGTTCTGATCATGATCATACTCAAATCAGGTCACACTGTATAAAATGAGCCTTTAAGTTTCAACAGTTGAGGAGAACCCAATTGAGGGCCTAGAATACAACTTTAGTGTGGTGAGTGATCTTTTTGCATGAATGGCATCACTGCGACAGCTGTCAAATTTGAATGGGCCTCAGGCCCATGCCTGAGCACAAATGAATTTTAGACTATTTCTTAAACTTTTCTACATCTAAAACAGTTTTAAATAAATGGTAAAAAGGAAATATGCAAGCCTATATCTAATGCATACATTTTACAACATATTTTAATGAACTTATCTTGCATACTTTAAGTAACTTCAATAGGAACATTCCATAAAATGAAACTATATTGGGAAAAGGCTAACAGAGTTTTAAACTATGAAAAAATGTATGGCTATCTTCATTTTCACTCTAAACTTAAGATCAAGCATGTATTAACATATAATTTGGAAAACTCAAAATAAAAAAGATATATGGACTTAACAGATACATATAGGTTACTCCACCCAGCAGCTATGGAATACACATTGTTCTCAGTATTCCACAAAACACTCTCTAAAATATGCCATAATTTAAGCCAAAAAGCAAAACTTTTTTTTACTTTGTTTTTTATTTTGTGTGTGAGTGTTTTCCCTGCATGTATGCAAACACATCTGTGTCATGCATTGCCTACAGAGGTTAGAAGAGAGCACTGGATCCCCCTGGAACTGGAGCTATGGATGGTTAGCAGCCATGTGGGTACTGGAAGCCAAACCCAGGTTCCTCTGCAAAAGCAGCCAGTACTCCTAACTGCTGAGCCATCTCTTCACCCCCACAAAGAAAATCTTAACAAATACATTAGAATATATTGCTTGTGTTTTACCAAATCATAACATAATAGAACGAGAAATCAACAGAAACCACAGAAACTACACAAATACTTGAAAATTTAATAATACACTCTTGAATGAACAGTAGGTCACTATAGAAACTAGAAAGGAGATTTTTTTACTATTATTTCTAAAATCAAAAGAAACTGAAAGCACAGCTTAATTAACCTTCAGGGTATAGTTAAGGTAGTTCTAAGATGAAAGTTTATAACTATTAGTGGTTACACTAAAAGAAAACAGAAAGATTACAAATAAATAACCTAAGGAAAGACCTCAAGGTCTTAGAAACCAAATTAAATTGTGGTAGATGAAAAGATGTAAGATATAATAAAGATCAGAGATTAATAAAATGAGACTTTGAGAACAATATGTGGAATCAGTCAAAAAAAAGAGTTAGGTCTTAGAAATAAATAAACTGGATTGACACTGAAGGCTACATTACAAGAAACAGTGCCAGACAGGAGAAACCTTCCTCTGAGCTGTTGACCAGGGTAGTTCAAGAGACTCCCAAATCACACAGGTTATTGCCACAGCCTTTGATTGCCTCCCAGAACTTGAAGGAAAGACCCGATTGCTGAAGACAGGACATACTTAAGACACAGGATTTAGAGCAATGGAGCTGGAACTGACCTGGAAGCCACCTCCCCTGAAGGCTAGCTCTCATAGTTTTAGAGAACACTATACAAGCTGCTAAGGGAGAACATCAAACGATGGTCCAACCCCTGCTTCAAGGCCTAATAATCAATGACTGGCACAGCAAAGAACACTGATGCAGTAATAGCACTTTTATCTTGGGGGTAGTCAACAGCTACCCAATTGGACTTAAAAGCCCACTCAATGGGAAGAAACTCATGTGTGATACTGTAAACCTAGCCAAATTCACATAGCTGGAGAGGTCATAGATCTTAGAGAAAATCCCAAGGCTGTCACATCCCTAGATAAATTTAATTTCTTACTTTGTGCAAAATATGGATCTTTAAATTTACAGACAAGTATTCCAATAACCACTCATCAAAGAAGCTTCTTTCCAACAGACAAAGGTTATTACAGAGTTCCTCAACTGGCTACCACAGAGATTGTCTGTGAATTGCCCAAGCCTAAGTAGCACATCTATAATGCAACCTCTACAACCTAAGGCTCATGGAACATAAAACAAGGAATAAAGAGAACACTAATGCATCTTTCAGTTCTCATCAATAAAGCTTCCTCATACAGCAGAGGACCAGGAACACAAAAAGTCACAAATGGCCAAAGAATAGAGATTAAGAGTTTGTAGAATACTTGTCCTTAGACAGGACTCCTATATTAAACTACACCCACCCAGGACTCAGGGACCACTGAAGAGGGGCAGAAAGACTGTAAGAGCCAGGGAGGAGGTGCATGACAAGAATCCTACAGGATTCTGGGACCCTTCTCATATGAATCTACAGCAATGGTATCAGCATGCACAAGACCCATGCAAATTCATGCAGACAAAAACGCAGCACAGAACTGTGGAAATGGGCAGCAGGCCCCAATCCTAGATGAAGAACTGGTATCTGATTACTGCTGGGTGAGGAAGAGCTGATCTTCTTAAAGGGAAGGACTCTACATAGGCTGACTAAACCTCAGTGGATGAACTTGCACTGAGGGACCTCTGGGGACACTAACTTGACTTGATAGGCCTTAACACAAATGACAGAATGCATGAATTCCAGTAGGGGGGCTATGAGAGAGTACCAATGGGGTAGGGGGTATAAAGATGATTAATATGTTCTGTATGAAATACACAAAAATTCAATAAAAACTCAAAATTCAAAACACACAAATGAACAGGATCGATAAACCTCTAGCTAAACTAACCCAAAGAAGGAGCAAAGACCTAAAGTAATATAATTAATTTAGTAATAATATTAGAGATAAAAAAGGAAAGGTTAAAACACTCCAAATAAGTCTTGAGACTTATTAGGGAATACATTGAGAATATATTCCAAAATATATATATAAAAAGGAACATCTAGAAAAAAAATGGATAAATTCCTAGACATACATGACCTACCAAAGTAAAATCAGGGGGATGTAAATAACCTAACAAATTAATGACAAGAAATGAGATTAAAACAGTAATAACAAGTCTTCCAACAAAGAAAAACCCAGCACCTGTTGAACTGCTAAAATCTTCCAAAACTTTAAAGAAGCGCTATCACCAATGCTCCTAAAACTGTTCCATGAAACAGGAAAAGGAGCACTATCAAACTCTTCTATGAAGCCAACAAATGCTGATACTCAGAAAGAAGACACACAAAAACAAACTACACATCAATTTTCCTGATGAATACAGACACGAAGATTCTCAAAAAAATACTGCAAACTGAATTCAGGAACACATTACGAAGACCATATGCTGGGTGTAGAGACACATGCCTTTAATCTCAAAACTTGGGGTACACAGTCAGGCAGATCTGTGAGCTGCAGGCCAGCCAGCTGAAGGACAACAATTGACAAATGGGTCCTCATAGACCTAAAAAGCTTCTATACAGCAAAGGAAACAACTAATTGAATGAAGAAACCCATAGAGTGGGAAAGAATCTTTGCCAGCTATACATCTTACAGAGGATTAATTTCCAGAATTTACAGAGAATTCAAAAAAACAAACAATTAAGAAAACATAGGACTGATTTTAAAAAGGACTACAGATCTGAACAGGGTTCTCAAGAAATACAAATGGCTATGAAATACCTTAAAAAGTGTTCATCATCCTTAGTATTTAGGGAAATACAAATTAAAACTGCTTTAAGACTTCATCTTATTCCAGTCAGAATGGCCAATATCAAGAAAACAAGTAACAACAAATGCTGGCAAGGATGTGGGGAAAGGGGAACCCTCAGTGACTGCTGATGGGATTGCAAACTATTGAGCCACTATAGAACAGTGTGGCACACTCTCAAAAAAACTATAAGTAAGGCATGGTGGCGCACACCTTTAATTCCAGCACTCTGGCAGAGGCAGGTAGATCTCTGTGAGTTCAAGGCCAACCTGGTCTACAGAGTGAGTTCCAGGCCAGCTGGGGCTATAGGGAGACCCTATCTCAGAAAACAATAACAACAACAACAAAAAAAAACCAAAACAACAACAACAAAAAACCCCTAAAAGTAGATTTACTAATGTTCCATCTATACCAATCCTTGGCATATACCCAAAGGATTTAATGTCCTATTACAGAGATATTTCCTCAGCCATGTTTGTTGCTGCTCTTTTCACAATAGCCAGGAAATGGAAACAACCTAACTGTCCCTCATCTGATGACTGGATAATGTTGTACATTTATAAAATGGAGTTCTACTTAGCAGTAAAGAAAAACAAAATCATGAAATTTGCAGATAAATGGATGGAAGTAGAAACTGTTAAACTAAGTGAGATAATCCAGACTCAGAAAAACAAGTGACACCTATGTGGTCTCTTTCTTTTGAGCATCGTAGCTCTAAATCCTGAGATGTGAATATATATCCTGATGTAACCAAAGGACCCAGGAAAATGGAAAGGAATCATGGGGGTAAAAGGGAAGAAAAAGCTCAAAAGAGAGGGATAGTAGGAGACAGGTGTTATCAAGGGGGAAATGGGGGAAATGGGGAATACTTTAATTGGGGTGGGAATGAGGCTATATAGGAGGGGAGAGAGAGAGAAATAATGCTAAAATTGTGTGAAAAGAAAGGAAAATGTAGTATATAATAAGTCTCCTGAAAATATACACAGTACATGATGCAAGAGGAGCGACAGAACATCTACCTAAGGAGACTGGGTGGCTGAGTTCCTTTTCAGACAAAAGGTAATACTGATCCCTTAAAGAAAAGCACCTTTCTATGAGGTGAAGAACAAACAGCACAGGCACTCATTGTAAACAAGGTTCTTAGTATGACTGGTTCTTTGTTGCTCTTGTTTTTAAATATTTTTATTGTGGTAAAATTTATGTAATATTAAAATTATCATTTTAACCATTTCAGGTGTACAGTTCAGTGGCATTAAAAGCATACGATTATTTGGATAATTTTCACATGCAATCCTGTACTTTAAAAACTTGTCAAAAGCTGTATTGTTTTTCTTTCAGTTGATTATAAAAGTCCCCAGAAGGTGATAGACAACTTGGTTTGGGCCTCACAAACAAGTCAGCAGGAAGGCTGCACACCATCCCTGCCCAAGGACACAGTAAGAGTCCATCATTCACTCGTTCATTTCCTACCAGACTCTGTTTATGACGAAAAATGGTGGTGTGGATGAAAGGATTGATATTAAAGTAGGAAATAGAAAAATCCTTACAGAAGGTTAGACAGTGACAGTGGCAGAAGATTAATTCTGCAATTATCAACATAAGGCATCTTCCAGGTAGCACCAGGTTTGGGCCACAGAACCATTAATAGCTTTCTTTAACTTGTTGTGACTTATGTCTCTTTCATCCTCAGCTATGTAAACCAGCCAGGAAATAAGCTCCTTTCCTCCCTTCAACATATGAGCAAACAGAACACAGAAGGGAGTGGCTCTGCAGGTTTAAAGAATGGTTGCTTGGTCTCTTGACTAAAGAAATAATCAGGTATTCTGAAGATGAACCTTAAAAAGTAGGCAGCTGTTAGAATGGAGTAAAGCTAGCATTTCAAGTTGCAATCTGAGTTTTTGCTCTTACATGCCATTGGGTACATCCACAGAACAGCTATCAGGAAACTTGTTTTCCTGTGATTAAGGTGGTCTGCTTTACCCAGGTATCCACTGAGCCACCAGCTCCTGAGCAATGAAGCTTCAAGTTAGTTGGTGACCCTGCCTTTTCCTACCTGTAGGGACCATGGCACCTTTAACAGCGACATGCTCAAAAATAAGTCTTCATTTTGATGACACTGAGGAATCTGTTCTTTAGCACATAAAAATATACTTAAAATGACACATAACAAGGGCACTATTCAGCAGTAGTTACATTGTTCCCTGTCAAAGAGAAAGTGAGTATGCTGAAACATGGCCAAGCGGCAGCCAGCTAAGGCACCCAAAGGCTTCAGGGATCAGAGATACCGTTAGCACAGGCTGCAAAAATCAATTTTTGGAAAACAGATTTCAAAAAAATTTTGGAACCAGGGATCACAACAACATAAAGAAAGCACATGTGTGGGCTCTAAACTGAGAATAAAACCTAAAGCCTCAAGTTTTCACTGAAACAGAGCATCATGCTTCTGTCAAAACTGACCCTGATAAAATGTAGTCCCTGCTCCGTGGCAATGCCATATCCGCTTTTCTTACCTGTCAGAGTTTAGCAATTGATTTCTGGCACTAACAGAATTAAGTCCAGAAAGAAATCTCAAGTTGAAGACTGAACAAATCTTTTAAAAACTTTGTCAAAGAAGATATCTGAGGCTCTGATATAAACTAAGCCAATGCTTAATACAGCTGACTTGGTGGCTTGGATGAGAATGTCCCCCATAGGCTCCAAGTATTTATGCATTTGTCCCCAGTTGTCAGTGCTATTTCTGGAGGTTTCAGAAGGTGTGGCCTTGCTGGAGGAAGCAAGTCACGGGGGGTGGGGGTGGGGTGGACGGACTTAGAGAGTTCTTAAGCTTTGCCAGATCTCCAGTTGCTCTCTGCTTCCTGTGCCTGCTTGATGTTGTAAGTACTTAGCTTCTGATCCTATTCCAGTCACCTACACTGCCATGCCTCCCCACCATGATGGACTCTTGCCCCTTTGGAGGCAAAAGCTAGATAAACTCTTCTTTTTATATATTCCCTTGGTCATAGTGCTTTTATCACAGCAACATAAAGTAACTAACATAGTCCATCAGGGGTAAATGAGTAAACTACAACTTATAGCCTGCTGAGGGGTTTTTGTAAGGCACAACTGTAACAATCACACTCATTTATTTTTCATTCCTGTGGCTAATTTTGAACAATTGTGCTAAATAGTTGTGACAGAGACTTTAGGGCACACATAACTTAAAAGTATTTACTACTGGCTCTTTACAGAAAAACACAGCAACTCCTGAAATATATGAATAACATTATACATCTTATAAACACAAACCTGGTGGGGTAATAAGGGTTCTTCTATGGTCTTTACACCAACCAACTGGATGAATATGTGGACTGGATGCTTCACACCTGCAGGTTATATAAAATAAAAGGCTGTAGTTACCAGAGAGATGCACAAATACTGTCAGAAGTTTTTAAAAAAGAACGTTAACTGGTGATTATGAACACATTCAAGAATTTTATTATAATTTATACAATTAAAAATGCTAAACTAGATCTGGCTTTGGTAGGCCAAGGCTGAGATCCTAGCAGATAGCCTGAGAGGGTGAGTTCCAACCTCCATCAGTGTAGGGACTCTGATCACAGCAGACTGCCAGTGCAGACTTCTGGCCTCCCTCAGGCAGAGAGATTGAGAACACAGGGGACTGCCTGAGAGCCCATGGATCTTGCCTATACCTGGTGGTCAGCTTCCCCTAGTTGCACCACACCCATCCCCCTACCTGGGATTTGCTGTAGTGGCTCTGATCTCAGCAGACCACCAGAGAGTGCCTAGCTCTGGACTCCCTCTGGCCTCCCTCTGGTGGAGGGCCTGAGAACTCAGGGGACTGCCTGAGAGCCCCAATCCTGCCTCCATGTGGTGGTGAGCTTTCCCTAATTGCTCCATACCCATCTCCCTACCTGGGATTTTTTGAGGTACCTCCCAAGGCCCTAGGGCAGATCTGGCTTTGGTAGGCTAAGGCTGAGATCCTAGCAGACAGCCTGAGAGGGTGAGTTTGGACCTCCATCTGTGTAGCAGCTCTGATCTCAGCAGAACAACAGAGAGTGCCTAGTTCTGGCCTTCTTCTAGCTTCCCTCTGGCATAGGGGCTGAAAATGCAAGAGACTGCCTGAGAGTGCCCCGATCCTGCCTCCACATGGTGAAGGAAGCCTGACTGTACCTAACTAGAACCTGAATTGGGCTTCTGTGGGTACTCCTGAATAGCTGATCTGAAGCCATCAGTTCCCTCCAAATTAAACCTGTGAGAACCTGAACCCTGTACCAACCAGCTTTATATAACCAATAAAGAAAGGATCTAGGCACCCTGATAATACAAACAGAAGCATACTTCAACTTAATTCTCATATCAGAATCATAAACAACAAAAGAAATTCACATGCCAAAATCAAAACGAAAGAATAATAAAATGGAAAGCCAAAACACTATGCCCCCACCAAACTCCACTAATCATCCAGAAGGCTCTACAAAGAGAATCCCCTAGAGATAACCCAGGATGCTGAATTAAAAAGAACAATAATAAACATGATCAAGGAATTCAATGAATTTAAAGAGCACAGGAATAAACAAATTAAAGAGCTAAAAGAAGACAGGGATAAACTTCTGAATGAATTCACAAAAGAGACAGAAACATTGAAGAAAACTCAGGAAGAAATGAAGAAGGAAGTGCAAAACTTGATAAGACAACTTGAAACAACAGTGGAAAGCCACATGGCTAGAATGAATGAAAATGGAAAACAATATCAACACTGGAGGATAAAATTGAAGAACTGGACCACTCAAGCAAAGATTATAGAAAATTTTTAAAAACACAGGAATGGATTATGTAAGAGATGTGGGACACCATGAAAAGACCAAATCTATGAATCATAGGAATAGAGGAAGGAGAAGAATTTCAGGTTAGTGGTGTTGACCAGATCTCAAACAGGGTCGTAAAAGAGAACT